TGCCTCCTTTTTCACCATCAACCACCTCAGCCCAGTGTCAAGTGCCTTTTCCAATTGTTTATCTTTGCTTTGGAACTGCCCCGTGTTGATGCGACCGTCGATGTCGGACAACGTGTTCTCTTTCGTCTCAACTCTCTCTAAGCAAGCCACCAGGAACTGATTTGTATGCCCAGAGCTCACGCTCCCTGCGATAATCGATTCGGGCGGGGATTTGCCAACCAGATTCGACGATCTCTGAAACTCCTGGGTATACTGCGCAATCGTGCCATTCTTATCTTCGATGCAAACTGAACCAGCCGTTGCCGCGAAACTAAATTTGTTCCTCACGATCTTAGCCCCCAGCCTGTGCACCTCGTAAGCCTTGATGCCCAATCCATATCTGTTTGAAGGGTGGATGCCTACTTGGTGAGGTTTTAGATACAGCCACACAGCCATACCAATAGAAATTAACTTCTCGAGGATCACATCTACCATTCCGACAAGCCCATCTGCTGACGACAGTGCTTCCTCGATGAGGCCGTCCAGGGCATCGACCCCGTCAGCGAACGACGCCATCGCGCGCTCGATATCGAGGACGCTGCAGGAAATCGAGGTGCGACTCTCCTGGCGCTACGCGGCTGCGGGTCCGACTTCGATGGCAATCGAGTTCGATGGCATCGATTCCGATGGCAAGAGGAAGGGGGGGAGGAGGAGGAGGAAGAGGAGGAGGAGGAGGAGGAGGAGGAGGAGGAGGAGGGGGGAGACGGATACTGATTAGGAGAGGAGGGAGAAGAGAGGAGGGGGAGGAATAATGACTGGCACAAGGGGGGTAGGAAATGATGAGGGGAATGAGGAAGAGGAGGATGCCGACGACGAGGAAGAGGAGCTGGAGGCGAGGAAAGAGGGAGGACGAGGGCGGTCGCGGTGGGAGGGGGCCGCGGCGCCTGGCACTTGTTGCACGGAGGGGCGGGCGGCGCGCGCGCGCGCCGCTCGCCGCTCCGACCGACCAGACCGATCCCCCCCCCACCCCTATATACCCCCACCCCCGCAACGATAATCGATGTCCTCTTCGATCATCGATGTCCCTCACCGCGGTGGGGCGAGGGGGGGGAGGAGGAAGGCGAGGCTCTCTAAGGCAAGAACAATCCGCGACCGTGGGAGTTACCATCATCGTCGTCGTCATCATCACCATCATCACCGTCATCATCGTCGTCGTCATCATCATCATCATCGTCATCGTCATCATCACCATCATCCTCATCATCATCATCATCAGATCTCTCTCTCTCTCTCTCTCTCTCTCTCTCTCTCTCTCTCTCTCTCTCCCTCCCCCCCCCTCCCCCTTTTCTTCTCACTGCAAGGAGCGCCCTTTCTTGTAATGGCTGCTCACGACACTCGCGAGCGTAACAAGATCGTTTCACGATCCGTTATTTTGCGGGGGCAAGGGTGGAACAGTTCACGAACGTAAAGTGCACGCGCCTTCAGCGCCTCCGCTCTGCGTTTCTTTTCTTTCTTGCCTGCGTCGCGACAAGAAAGAAAAGTTTTTTTGGGGGGGAAAAAAGTTCAACAACCACGAAAAAGGACACGCATGTGCACACGCGCGGCGCGCCTCCTTCTTCCCTTCAATCGCGGGGTGCTCGTGCGACCCGTAGAACAGACAATTGCAAGGCAGGGGGGGCGCGCGCCGCGCTACTGCTGATAAGAGTATCGCAGGCGGCGCGCGTATGCATCGATATCGATATCGACATCGACATATGATTGTGCATGTGCATGCATGCGCATGTGTACGTGCGCGCGCGTTATCTACATCGCAATGCGTGAACACACCTTACACGCGCATATGTGCAAAACTATGTGTGTACGAAAATGATCATATGTAAGCGTATGTGTGAAACGCTGTAGTATATGACTGAATCCCATGATGAATACATAGAAAACCACACATCGAGGATTTACTTTGGACATACTAACTCGGGTCTAATTCGACTTAGTAAGTCGAAATAGTTCGACTTAGTAAGTCGACATAGTTCGACTTAGTAAGTCGAAGAAGTTCGACTTACTAAGTCGACAACTTCGAGTTCTAATTCGACTTATAAGTCGATTTATAAGTCGGCTGTCGACTTAGCTTTTAGGTTATAACTCAATTTTTATAAGCTGACCTAAATCGATCACCTAAGTCGGTTATGCTAAGTCGGCCTAAGTCGACTTGTAAATCGACTTCGTAAGTCGCTTAAGTCGGTTAGTAACTCACGTCCTCAACTTATATCTAAGATATAATCAGCCGTTCATCAAAGTATGAGGTCGCGAGTGCCTACTTCCGCACGTACCACAACGTCACCGCGGACACCTTCTCCAGGGTCGAGGACGAGGAGGCGGTGGAGTTGGCCAGGTCGAGGGGTCTGGAGGTCGTCGACTTGCGGGACAGCTGGGCCGAGCACCTCGAGCGCGGCTGGCTCCACCGGGCGCTGGTCTGGGAGGGCCAGAGCGATGCAGACGCCAGGGTCGCGAAGCAGCTGGCCGTCGCTCGGCGCGAGCCGCATCGCCCGCGGACCCTTCAGATGAGACCAGGGCGGGCGGTGACCCTCGTCGAGTGGCGAGGTGCCACGGGTGCCTTGTGTAAAGCAGGGGCCCGCCGCGGCGCGGTCGTTTGGATGCTCGCAGCTCCCGGGGCCCCAGGGGCAGAGCACGCCGCGTGGCCCCCAGGCGTGGCGGAGTGGAACGCCAGAGGCCCTGGGCACGCGGACGTGGTGGCAGCCAGCCTGACCAACGACGACGGCGAGGAGGCGAGGCGCTGGGCGGAGTTCGTCGTCCTAGTGGAGGCGGAGATTGCTATTGCGGACGCGCCGGGCCCAGCCGACCTAGGCCCCGCGTTGCGGAGGCTGAGAGGCGTGGGCTACAGCTGGGAGGAGGTGGAAGTGCGCTGCTCTAGGTTGGGTGACCCGATCGCGAAGCAGCGCAGGGTGGTCCTGGCGGTCCGAGGTGGAGGTGGGGCGATGGGCTTAGGCCAGGAGTCCGTGGAGCCGCAGAGCGCCAGGTCGTGCGTCGGTAAGCTCAGCCAGGGCGTCATCAGTTTCAGCAGCGAGGACGGCGAGCTGGTCCTGGACCCGCGCATCCCCAAAAGGGGGGGCCCAGACGGCGCGCGACCCTGCGGCCATTGGCACCCCAGGGGAGGAGGCGCCAAGGAGCTGGTGTATTCGTCGGAAGGTCCGTCGCCGAGCATTAGGAGCGCGGCGCTGGCAGGGAGGCCCGGAGACCGCATCCTGTTCCACGATGCTCGGAACCCTCTCCCAGGAGTCTGGCAGCTGGGGGGCGAGGAGATTTGGAAGCTCACAGGAGGCGCGCCGGCGATCTTTCGGCGGGCAGTTGAGGAGGACACTGAGACCAACGACCTCGTGGCCTGGGGCATCCGGGCAGCCACCCCCCAGCTCGCGGACGCCATGGTCGAGGAGGCGCTGTTCCAATTGGAGAGCTCCCGGCAGCGGCAGGACACTGGCAAGGCAGGGGTTTGCTCGCTGGCGAGAGAGGATGCGCAGTGGGAGCGGCTGCAGACGTGGCTGCGCGCATGTCGTGAGTGCCCGAGCGACCCAGGAGGCCGGCGGCTGCGCTCAGGAAGGAGAGGCTCCCTACCAAGTGCGGCATGGTCCCGGACGAGGACAATGGGCTGGGCCAGAGGCGGGCGCAGAGCTTGCTTGACGACCCCTATCCAGACGTGCTTCTTCTGCGTGTGGGGCGCGACCCGGACGGAGGACCACAGTGCTGGAATGGGTGCGGGAGGAGCTGCGCTCGCCTTGACCATGGCTGGGGCTGGTACTGCTGTCGGACGTGCCGTAACATGGATGGCGAAGCCCATGGGCCCTACTGTCAGGCCCAACACGAGGACCTCCAGAGGATGCAGAGGGAGGCGGGCCACCACCCACCGGCGAACGAGGAGGCGAGTGGCAGCGGCGGTCCTGGAGCCCAAGCAGCAGGCGAGGAGGTGCCTGCCACGCCGCCGCCGCTGGAGCCGCAGTCGGGGTGGGCGCCGCCAGCAGCCGAAGGAGTGGTGGGAGTGAGGTTGCCGTCTCGCTCTCCTCCTCGCGGCAGGTCGCCGCCCCTGCTGTCGCGAGGGGGAATCTGGGGAGGTGACGAGCTCCCGCCGGTACCCTGCAGGAGGCGACCCTAGCGCCCGGTACGAGTGGTGCGAGTACTGCGGCGTGCAAGGCGAGGGCCGAGATGTGGGCTGCCCGATGTGCCATAGGGTTTGCCCCGTCTCGATGGCACGGGATCGGGCGCTGGCGGCGCGGAGGGCAGCCGAGGCAGAGAGCGCGGCGGTAATAGCGGCCCGAGCGGTGCCGCCGCCGCTCAGGTCGTTGCCCAGCGACGCCCAGCTTGGCGATCCGACCCCCCCGAGCGGGCCAGACAGGCGCGCCGGGGCCGTCTCCGACGACGAGCGGCGGGGAGGCTGGACCCCGCAGGGCCGGGACGCCCCCACCCTGGGGGGCGCCAGCGCGGCCAGCGCAGCAGGAGTGGGGCCCGCCCAGGCACCCGTCCAGGAAGGGAGGCCGGTCAGGACTTTGGCCCCCTGCCTCTTCCCTGGGTGCCCCTACTTGGAGCGCAGCGCCCCTGCGAGGCTATGGAAGCCAGGCGACTGCTGTGACAAGTGCGGCGGCCGCCACTGGGAGCAGGACTGGGCCGAGGGAGGCATCAAGAACTACAAGTGCTGCGAGAAGGCGCCTCATGGCCGCGAAGAGGCGCAGCAGCCAGGAGACGGAGGTGGAGGAGGCGGCGGGAGCCGCAAGAAGAAGAAGAAAAATCAGAAATCCGCCCTCGAGGAACGAGCCGAGCCGTCGCGCGGCCCCCCGGCCCGAGGAGGGGCCTTGGGCCGGGCTAGGGTCCTGGCAGCGCTCCACGATGAGGTCGAAGAGGAGGAGCCGTCACCTGAGTGCCCGCCCCCCTCGCCACATGAACTCAGGAGGAGGAGGAGGAGGGACGCAGAGGCAGAGGCCCGCAAGAACGAGCCACGCATCAAGCTCGTTGCGAGGATGCTGCCAACTGAAGTGAAAGAGGAAGTGAAGTCGGAGGATGAGGGCTCGAAGACGGCTGCAGCTTCGTCGTCGAGGAAGGAGGCGAGCGGCGGGGGCGGCCGAGGAGCTGACCCAGAGGCGGCAGGGCGCAGGTACAAGGAGCTGGCTGACCGCGTGGAGGGCCGGTGCACCATCGGGAAGAGTGCGGCGAACCAGGAGCACCGCCGCCTCTTGGACCATGCAGCGCGCGCCCTAGCGCGGGCTCAGGAGCTGCGGCCGCAGGTGCTTGAGGAAGGGCACGGCGGAACCGCCACGCCCGATGGGTCAGGAGCGGTCTAGGTCGTCGGAGGAGAGGAGATGCCCAGCGAGCCCGGCAAGGAGAGTTCGCTCAGTGCCCCCTCGTCCTGCACGGGGCGCAGGCGTGTCGAGTACCCGCGTCAGGGAGCCCTTGCCGATGCCGTCACCGAGGTAGAGAACGGTCTCCCGCAGGCCGCCGCGACGCAGTGTCACCCCATGAGGACGAGGGAGACGATGATGGGGCTGCGAGCCCTGTCGACTCGGAGCTACAGGCGGAGTCGATGGAAGCCGACGCTGGCACGAGCAGCGAGGCCAGGATGGCCGCGCTGAGGGCCCGGGCCATCCAGATCAAGCGCGACGAGGACGACGCGGCGGAGATGGCCAGGAGGAACGAGGCAAGGCAGAGGATGGGGGCGCCACGGGATGGCTTCAGCCGCGGACCGCCCAGGTCTGAGCGCTCCCTATCGCCTGGGCCATCGGCGCCGAGCTCACCGCCGCTCCGCACATCGCGGCCGGTTGCGGCGGAGGAGCGCCCGGCCTACGCGCCGCTGCCCGGTGAGGACGTTGAGATCGACCCGCGGGCGGTCGCGCGCTTCCTGGCGGACAGGCGGAGCTCTAGCAGCGCGGGCCCTGGCGAGAAAGGAGTGCGCATCCACCTCGAAGCTATGGCGCGGGGGGCCACGCAGGGCTCGGGCCGCCGTCGCGACCGAGGCGGGGACCGCAGGCGGGGCAGCAGCGGAGGAGACGACCGCAGGAGCGGGTGCCTCGAGCAGGCGAAGGCTGAGGAGGAGCTCGAGGCGCTGGTGAGGAGGTGGAGCTAGCCCGAGCAGAGGGGAGGGTGGCTCGACTGGGCCCTGGCAGCCACGGGTGCAGGTGAGGAACACGACCGCAGTGCAGGGGCCACCTCGCATAAGAGCAAGAAGGGCAGCAAAAAGGTCCGCGGCCCGCACGAGAATAAGCCGCCCAACCTCCTCGGACCGGAAGCTGTTCGAGCGAGCGCCCGCCCGGGGGACCTCACTCTGACGGACCTCAAGACGCGCGAGGACTGGGAGAAAGCTAGGCTCGAGCTCATTCTCGATAAGCTGGCCAGCTCCACGATCAAGTCGCACAGCATTGGCTGGAGGTGGTGGACTCTTTTCTGCCGCACGAGGAGAATCAGCCCGCTTCGCGAGATCAAGCCTGAGAGCAGGAGGAATGAAGAGGAGCTGTTGTTAGAGTTCGTCATCCACCTGGCGCGCCGAGGCTGCAAGAAGGCGGGCACCATCAAGCAGTACCTGAGCTCGGTCCGGGCCCAGCACCTCGCACTCGGCATGGGCGACATCGCGGAGGGCGCTTGCAGGCTCTGGATGGCGATCGACGGGCTCAGGAGGAGGGGCGGCGGCACCAAGCGCAAGAATCCGGTCACTCCCCGCATGATGAGGTGGATTAGGCGGAAGTTGCAGCCAGAAAGGTCGAGGGAGGGCGCGGCTCTGTGGGCCGCAGTGGCCACGGGCTACCTCTTCCTCTTGAGGGCCACCGAGTACGTCTCGAACGACCAGATCGGCTATATGGGCAACAAGGGTCTTCGGGGAGCTGGCGTCACCCCGAAGGCGAACGGCGAGCCGACTCGCGCGTGGGGCGAGGCGAACGAAGTCGTCATCAAGATTCGGGCCAGCAAGACCGATCAGTACAACAGGGGCAGGGGCGAGTGGCGCAACCACTTCCGCATTGTGGTCGCTGAGGACGCAGATCGAGCTGAGCACATCTGCGTGGTGGAGGCGCTCGAGATCTATGCGGTCTGGGCCAATGAGAGGTTCTCGGGCGCACAGATGTACGATCCCCTGTTCGCTGTCGACGACGTGCACCTGGTGACGCGGGCTGACGTCCAGCGAGTGGTGATGCAGTCGGCGGTGGCGGAGGGCATGGACCCGAACGACTTAGGCTCGCACAGTCTGAGGATCGGGGGGGGCGTCGGCGCTGTGCGCGGCGTTCAAGGACACCGCTTTGGTGCAGCGCTGGGGCAGGTGGAACAGCGACGCTTTCCAGGGATACCTGTGGGAGGCGCGCGGCATGGCAGAGGGGGTTGCCGGCAGCATGGCGGCCACTGACATCACGATGGTCTGAGAGGTTGCGCCGTCGCGTTGGTCTGAGGCTCAGAGCGCGTGGGCAGCGGGGGGCCGACGAGGCCTGAGCTGAGAGCGCAGGGGGGCCTTGAGGCTGGCAGTGCGGCGTCAGGCATAGCCGGGAGTGCTGGGCCGTGTGAGGCCAGGCCCCCCCGCCAGTGCGCGCGGGGGCCCTTGAGGTGGGCCCCGTGGCGCGCAAGGAGGAGGACTGGTGCGCGGGGCACCGGGCGGGCGGCGATGAGCCGCTAGAGGAGCACGAGGGGGGTCCAGCGGCGGCGAGGGTCGCCAGCCGCAGAGCTCGCGCCCGCGAGCTGGATCGCGGGCGCCATCATGCCGAGGAAAAAGGTGCGCCCTTTCCTCCTCGTTATCATCAGGAGATAGAGAGGCGAGGAGGAGGAGGAGGTTTGTCAGATGCGGCCTGATGGCTCAGGGCCAGCAGGCCCAGGCGAGCCCGATCCGCCTGAGGTTTTGAGGTTTTGAGATCTCCTGCTGTCCTCCTCCGCCGCCGTTTGCTCAAGGCTCCTGCGGAGCCGAGAATATTTTTTGGGGCCCCACCCACCCACGCCAGAGGGGTGGGGCCCCAGCCGAGTTTGCTCGGCGGGCCCCATCAGGGGGCTCGCACGCGCTTGCCGCACAGCGGTCGGCGCGGTCGTCGCTCCCCGCGAGGCTTCTCGCGGGTGGTCCAGCGGCGGCGAGGGTCGCCAGCCGCAGAGCTCGCGCCCGCGAGCTGGATCGCGGGCGCCATCATGCCGAGGAAAAAGGTGCGCCCGCGAGGAGGAGGAGGAGGAGGAGGTTTGTCAGAGGCGGCCTGAGGGCTCAGGGCCAGCAGGCCCAGGCGAGCCCGATCCGCCTGAGGTTTGAGGCGGAGAGTCTAGGAGGAAACCGCCGCTCTTCTCCAGGGAGATGGTCAGCGCAGGAGTCGAGGCTGCGTTGAAGTGGCTGGGTGGGAGGATGGGCTATGTTTTGGGCGCCCTCCTCCACCAATTCATCGCCTTCATCGTGGGACTGGTGGACTCCATGGGCCGATGCATGCTCGGGGCCTACTGGGCCAGGCTGCAGTGGGCTGCCATAGCCCTGGTGGTGGTCGCGGTGGCCACCGTGCTGGGCTCTGCCTTAGGCTTCGTGATTTGGTTCGTGAGGACAGCATGGAGATACCTGACGCTGCTGTCCACCACGATGAGAGGGTTCGCGCAGGGCCACAAGTCAGGGCACGACGTGAAGCTGGCACTGGACGGCAACACAGCAGCAGCGCTCGTTCGGTATGGCAGCGCCGAGGCCCTCGAGATTGGCGAAGACTACATCAAGAACGAGGTCCGAGGCCGACGAGGAGGGGCCGAGAAGATGATGCCCAACGACCTCATCGTCCGCTCGGGAGGTTCCGTGGCTAGGCTCGAGCAGGGCCCACTTAAGGGTGGCCGGCTCACTCGCCACGGGTACGTCTACAAGTTTCGAGTGGTGAATGGGAGCTCGCATCGGCATTTGAAGGCGGACCTGGAGGCAACCCGCGATGACGACGGCATCGGGATAGTCCACCTGTGCGCCACTACTCCGTGTATGCTTCCCACCGGGGACAGGCCGATGGTGCACATCTGCTCGTCGTGCGTCGCGCCCCGCAGCTCCCCGATCAATGTGGCGGACTTGGCCAAGCTCTCTCCCGCAGGCAGGGCCCGCGCGGGCAGGAGGCTCTGCTGCGCTTGGGCAGGCCGGGGCGTGGGCAGGGCAGTGGGGCGACTATTCAAGTGCTGCGCCCGGAAGAGGATGAGGCGCCCCAAGCCAGGGCACCCCGCGGGCAAGGCCGAGGAGATGGACCCCAACTCGGAGACGGAGTCGGAGCCCAGCGTAGATATCTGCCAGGCCGACCAGGTGGCCTACATCACCGAGGGCGGCACGCAGGTCTTGAGCGCCCCGTGCTGCAGGGACGCTGCCAGGCAGAGTCCGGTCTTCCTCCTGGTGGAGGACGCAGCCGTCTCGGACACCCGTGACCTGCAAGAGGAGGCTGGCACCTGGACTCTCCGCGCGTGCGTGCATCACGCGGGTACCTACGAGAGCCAGGCGGCTCGGCGGAGGTTTGCGCGCTCACAGTGCCACCGCGCTCGTGTGGTTGAGAAGGGCGGCTTCTCGCTGTGCACGGCTCACGCGGCTGATCGCGCGGTGGGCTGGCGTAGCCGGTCGGCGACTCCCCATCGAGAGGTCGAGGACGGTGATCAGCGCCCAGGAGCTGCGAGGCCAGAGAGGAGGAGCGAGGAGCGTGTGGCTCGTCGCACGCCGGCGGTCTCCAGCCGCAAGGGCAGCCCAGCCCAGGCCGAGGCGGACGCGGTCTGGCTCATTCACGTTCGTGACCCTCTGGCAGCGGGGGCATCAGAGTGGGGCGCGTACTACAGCTTCCCCGCCCGCTTCATCGGCCCGACGAAGAACTGCAAGAGCGACGACCCTCGTACGGACGTGGAGGCGGTGGGCTTGGGGCTAACTTTTTCCGTCTCGGATGGGGCCTTTGCCCCCCCCCAGGCCTGAGCTGCTCGACGAGTTCGTGGAGGCGCAGCCGCCCGCGATCTGCTGGCGCCTGTCGGACCACGGGGGCGGCGCGAACTACCTCGGCGACTCCATGAGCCCAGCATCGGCCATCGCGCTGAGCAAGGACCGCAGTCGGCATCTCATGGCCAAGCGGGCTCGGTCACGGAGTCGCAGCATTGCACCTACCCGACAGGACGCCCACGATGACTTCGATGAGAAGTTGCGCAGAGCCCAGGCGCAGGGCGAGGAGCAGAAGAGTCAGGATCCGAGGTCAATCCTCGTCGCAGCCTACCTCACCAAGCGCGCCGACGGCCTCGCTGACGGCGCAGCTCGATGGGGTCATCTCAGCGGAGAGCGGGATGGGCAAGCACGAGCTACTGGCGGAGCTCATCGAGGCGGCCGACACTCTGCATGGAGGAGGAGTCAGCGAGGTCGGCGTCAGTCTCCTCCGAGGGTGCCGTGACCTCTGGAGTCGAGAGCTCGAGGGCGGCGAGGGCAGCCAGCACCCGGGCGCAGCCGACGGGCCGCCGCTCCCCCCTCGGGCCCGCGCGCCGCACGAGGGCTACGAGACGGCAGGGGGAGGCCCGAGGCTGGCGGCCCCCGCGCGGGCTTCTCCTGAGGGCCAGTCGGGCCCGACTCTGCCTCCCCCGGGGCTGGGCTTCCTCGGCTTCGGGCAGAGGCCGCCGCCGCGGCCGGAGGCGCGGCCAGGTTTCAACCCAAGCGCGTTCTAAGGATCAAGAGGAGCCAGTTCGAACACGCCGTGGACGGCTCCGCCGCCTACGTCACCCTCCTTTGTGGAGAGGGCGACTCGCCCTAGGGAGTGGCACGCAGGTGCGTCCTCCCTGCCGCAGGAGGAGAGGGTGCTGGCAGCGCCTGCGGCGGAGTCTGAGGTGGGCATCGGCCTGCAGAACCTCGTGCGCGAGCTTGGAAGGGCCAACAAGCATGCTGAGGAGTCAGGCGGCGCAGCAAAGGGCACGCTGGCCAGCATCGGGCACGCGGAGGAGCAGCTAGTGTTCATGGCCAGGGGGTGTGACTATTACACGGTCACGCTGTGCCCAGGGCTGCTCGGCAAGGATGCCTTCCACGCGCTGAGGTCCGTGGGTCAGAACTCGCGGCCGCTCTTCAGGTCCATCAAGTTCCCCACCAACATCTCCAGCAGCATCGCGTACGGCTTCGCAGCGTTCCAGCATGGGGGGCGCGATCACCTGCATTTGCCAGACTACTGCCTCAGCTGCGCGAACTTCCCGAGGACGACGGAGGCGGGCATGGACGGCCACGTGCCCTCGAAGGACTGCAAGTTGGAGACGCGCCCGAGGCATGCGTCCACGCCCCAGCACTGGTTCCAAGACGCCAAGCGCGAGTCGTGGGCGTGGGCCTGCTTCTATGGCCAGGATCACTACGACCAGCAGATCAAGGCAGCCGAGCACCTGCTCAACCTCAATGACGAGGCGGAGTACGCTTGGCCCCCTAACATCATCTTCGGCATCTGGGCGGAGCTACGTGGCCGTTAGTGCGAGGAGCTGCGGATGAAGAGGGCTCGCATGCTGGAGCCCATGGGCGACGAGAACCCGCATCAGGTTCGTGTGCACGTCCCCCACCAGCAGTGAGGGCCCGCGGCCTTGGCTGCGGATGCCGCCCACCTACTTCTTGGACGAGCCTGACCAGTACTTCATGACGGACATCATGGTCAGGCACCACAACAAGCTGGCGAGGTCGCAGTGGCAGGCCGCCTTCCGCTCTAGCGCAGTCTCCCCCCCGCAGCCCATCCACCCCAGGCCCGGGCCCAAAGCGGGCAAGGCGGGCTCAGGGAGCCCCGATGCAGCGGGGTCGGCAGGAAGGGCTGCGGGAGGTCGAGGGGGCGCTGGCCTGCTTGGGCGTGCTCTTTCTCGCAAGGAGTACGGCCGCAGTCTCGACCATCGTCCCAAGTCTCCAGCGAGCGGCCGCATCATCTGCTGGGACAACTCCAGCTGGAAGGGGTGCCACAACTCCTCGTGCCCGCACTCGCACAAGCCGATCGGCAAGGTTGGCCTGTTGGACCGCTCCGTGCAGATGCAGCTGATCAAGCGGGGGGGGCCCAAGGGGGGCCCCAAGGTGGGCACGCACGAGGAGGCGAACAAGAAGATCGAGGCGCTCAGGCAAGCGCAGGAGGCTGAGGACGCGTCCAAGAAGGCTGGTGCGGCGGACGCGCAGGCGCCCGCTCAGGCGGGCGGCGGCAAGGGTGCCGACGGCGGGAAGGGCGGCGGCAAAGGCGTCGACGGTCGGAGAGGCGGCAGCATCGACCCCAGCGCAGGCCAGTGCCAGGAGGTAGAGGAGAGTGACGGCCGAGCAGCGCTGGCCGCGGGGGCGGCCAAGGACGGGGCGGAGGGCGCAGAGCCCCCGCCTTTGGGCTGGGTGGAGGCACCGCAAGAGCTCCAGGACTTGAACCCGACGGAGTTAGAGGAGCACCTGCGCGTCACCATGCAAGGCCCGGACGCCCGCTGGCTTGGCAACCACCATCAGGCCAAGCACCAGCCGGCCCACTTGCCCGACTCCACCCCCGAGCTGGCCAGGCGCAAGGAAGTGATGCATGAGATCGACACCGACCTTGCGCTGGCGCACGTTGCTGCCGAGGCCGGCTTGCTCGGCTGCTATCTCCGGAATCGGGTCCGAGCGGCCAAGGAGGCGAATGAAGAATACGACGTGGAGGCCCTCGCAGCGCATGCCGTGGACTACGGGTGCCCTGAGCTCGCGGAAGCGGCAGATGCGTTCATGCAGCAGCACTACGGGCGCGGGAAGGCAGGCGAGGTCACCACTCACCAGGCCATCGTGGGCCCCATCACGTGGGGCGAGGACGACGAGCCAGGCAAAGGCACGCTCATGCTGGCAGGCAGTGAGTGGACGATGCTCGACTACCGCGACAAGCTGGCTCTGGATCCCGAGACGGTCGAGGTGTTGGACGGCCTGCAGCACTCGAGCAAGGAGCCCGCGGACATCGAGCTCAGGGAGTGCGCCATCATCAACGTGATCGCCGCGAACATGATTAGCCAGGCCCCGTCGCAGGAGTGCGAGTGGCCATCGGCGATAGCCGTTCAGGAGGAGAGTTTGAGCTTCCGAAAGGAAATGCTGCAGGCAGCGCGGATCGCCGAGGGAGCTTTGGGTGAGGTCCCGGGCCTCCTGACGCAGGCGGAGGCGGACCTCCGCATCTTCTGCCGCGACCTTACCCGCCGAGACCATGACAAGGACTACCGCATGTACGCGGCCCTGCCGCCCGACCTCCTTCGCACGAAGGCGTTGGGCGCGGTGCGGGTGGACTACTATGGCAGGGTTGCAGTTGAGCTCATCATTGGCGCCGAGTTCACGAGGAAAGAGGAGGATATCCTGTGGGTGCTCGTGCACAAGGGCCACATGCGGGTCCTCGTCCCGCCAGGAGTGGGCGTCATGGGACAACTCTACGGAGCAGGGATCGACGTGCAGGAGCTGCCCGCCCTGGGCTGGGAGGCGCTACTCGAGTTAGCGCTCGCCACGCGGTCCCCGCCCGCGCACCCAGGCGCGCTGGCGTGCCAGCGCTGCGCAGAGGCCGCGGGCCTTGCGGCCGCGAGGCGCCCCGCCTCTGGCTCTTTGGTGGGCCTCATGAGCGACGAGACGCTGACCAACTCCGCGCTCTTCCTTGAGAAGGCGGTGGCAGGAGAGGTTGAGGAGGATGAGGTTCAGGGAGGCGAGAAGGTCGGGGAAATGAGCTCGGGCCCGTCCGAGGACGAGATTCGGAGCTGGCTGGGCGAGCAGGCGGCACTCCTGCCGCAGCAAGGTCGCAGGCTGGACTTCCTGGAGATCTTCACGGGAGAGGCTCGTATTTCCCAGGCGGTTGTGCAGCAGGCCGGGCCATCAAGATCGGGCTCCAGCGCGGCCAGGACTTGCGCCGCAGGAGGGGCAGGAAGCTTCTCCTGGGCCTCATCCAGCTCTATGACCCGCATGAGACGTGGAATAGCTGGCCTTGCACCGCCATCTGCGCGTTCGTCGCGCTCAACGAGTCGCGTGGGGTCGACCTGTCCAAGGTCAAAAGGGAGGGCGCGGTGTTTCTCGCGCTGGCCAAGAGGATCATGGTCGTTCGAGCCGCCAAGGGGCGGCGTTGTTCAGGAGAGAACCCGTGGCTCTCGGCGGCGTGGCGCCTGCTCGCCCCGATTCTCGCCGACCCCGCGTGGCACCAGGTCCGCCTTGATCAGTGCGCGCTCAACCTTCGGAGCGCCGCAGGTGGGCTTCACCTGAAGCCCACCCGCATCGTGACGACCTCGGAGGACGTCGCCAAGACCCTCAATCTCCGCTGCAGCGGGAACCACGTGCACGACTTGGTGGAGGGCAAGGCAGTCACCAAGCGCAGCGAGACGTACTCGCAGGAGATGGCCGACTTGGTGGCCAGGACGGCAATGCGGCGGGCTCGGCGGGATCGCCAAGCGGGAGACGATGAGCAAGGCGGGGGGGGGGTCCAGATCAGCACGGTGATGAAGAGGCGCTTGGTGGCAGGATCGAGAAGTCAACGAGGGCAGGAGAGGTCATCATCGAGTGCGACTCGAAGGGAAGACCGGAGGATACTGCGGCCAGGGCCTACTACGATATTTTGCAGGACCACCAGGACTACGAGGAGGGCCAGGTCAAGGAGGTGGTAAGGCTAGGGGACGCGGTGCTGGAGGAGGCGGGGTCGCTCGAGAAGGCGATTGTCGCTCTGAGGGGGGTCTGGTGGGAGAGGCATGGCTACCACCTGAGGGGCATCTTCGACAAGAACTTGGAGCCGCTAGTAGGAGGCGCGCTGCTGGAGTATGCTCGGAAGGTGGCCAAGGAGGAGGCTAGGACGAGGTTTAGAGGCGCACCAGCACGCCTCAAGGCGCTGCCCCACCCCAGTGCGAAGGATCACCTTGACGAGGTGATGCACGCCCTCTGGAAAGACGCGGCGAAGGGCCGTGTCTTGCTGTGCACCGACGTCCATGAGCACCTGCTCAGCAAGGTTGTGAGCGCACCCATGGCGAGGGTACCCAAGCAGAACCCGGACCGCACCATGAGCGACAAGGGCCGCCTCATTTGGGACGGGACGGTGCCCAACCAGAGCTGCCCCAAGGAGGACCACCCGCCAGCGGACCAGCCGCGGCACGAGGACCTCGCCCGCATCATCATGTGGTGGAAGGCGCGCATGCCGGGCGTCGACATTGTGCTGGCCAGGAAGGACGTCAAGGACGCCATCAGGTGGGTGGTGATGCATGAGATGGACGCGTGCATCTTCGGCGCGGACCTCGAGGGGGGTAAGTGGGGTGTCGCGGCTCTGATCACGGCGATGCGAGGTGGGGCGACAGCGTCCCCTTTTCACAGCTCGTTCCTCATGGGCGATCAGGTGCTCGTCGAGCCCAACATTGGCACGAGGGCGGCTCAGAGCAGCGACGCCGAGTTGGAAGGGATCAGGGCATGCCTTGGCGACGAGGCGATCAACGAGGAGAAGGACCTCGAGGAGGGCGGCTGGGAGACGTCGAAGATCTGCTGGGGCCTCCTCTATCGCACCCGCGAGGGCACGATTGAGATGCCGGAGCCCAAGATCGAGAAGGCGGCCTATCTACTGGCGGATCCCACGCTGGACTACGGGCATCAGACCATACCTTGGAACTTCTTGGAGATTTACCGAGGCAACCAGCAGTATTGGTGCCTCGTCATGCCGGCCATGCGCTGCCTCGTGAGCGCGACCGACGCACTCATGCGGGGTCGCCCGCGGCGGCTCGCAGGGCCCAGGAGCGACGATCAGCAGGGGCACTTGGCGTGGACGGACTTCTGGCAGGCCGCCGAGGTGGCGCGCGTCTTGGCGGCGGATAGGACGAAGTGGAGCTCGCGCTCTGCGGGCGCGTTGCCGGGCGCCCTCTCCATTAACGAGAAGCTGGCGCTCCCCGGGTGGCAGTGCCGCGTGATATGGGTCACCGGCGACGCCGCTCCGCAGAGGATCGCCACGGTCGATTGGGTTAACGCGAAGTGCGCGGTCCACGCCGTGCCTGAGTTCATGCAGGCGCTGCGGGAGGCGGTCGGCGTAGAGGAGGATGAGGAGGCCATCATCGCGATCGCGGAGTTCATGAACCTCGTGACGTTTGCGGCCAAGGCAGGAGCGGAAGGCTGGTGGGAGCGCGGAGTAGTGATGCACGGCGGGGACAACAACAACGTACACTGCTGGCTGCAGAACCGCCGTGCGAAGAACCGGCACGCCAGCTTCCCGATTACGGTGGCCACGTGCCTCGAGGCGGTCTACGGCTACGAGGTCGCGAGCGCCTACTTCCGCACGTACCACAATGTCACCGCGGACACCTTCTCCAGGGTCGAGGACGAGGAGGCAGTGGAGCTGGCCAGGTCGAGGGGTCTGGAGGTCGTCGACTTGCGGGACAGCTGGGCCGAGCACCTCGAGCGTGGCTGGCTCCACCGGGCGCTGGTCTGGGAGGGCCAGAGCGACGCAGACGCCAGGGTCGCGAAGCAGCTGGCCGTTGCTCGACGCGAGCCGCATCGTCCGCGGACCCTTCAAATGAGGCCAGGGCGGGCGGTGACCCTCGTCGAGTGGCGAGGCGCCACGGGTGCCTTGTGTAAAGCAGGGGCCCGCCGCGGCGCGGTCGCTTGGATGCTTGCAGCTCCTGGAGCCCCAGGGGCAGGACATACCGTGTGGCCCCCCGCCGTGGCAGAATGGAACGCCCGAGGCCCTGGGCATGCCTATGTGGTGGCCGCCAGCCTGACCAACGATGACGGTGAGGAGGCGAGGCGCTGGTCGGAGTTCGTCGTCCAGGTGAGGGCGGAGATTGCGATCGCGGACGCGCCAGGCCCAGCCGACCTAGGCCCCGCGCTACAGAGGCTGAGAGGCGTGGGCTACAGCTGGGAGGAGGTGGAAGTGTGCTGCCCCAGGTTGGGTGACCCGATCGCGAAGCAGCGCAGGGTGGTCCTAGCGGTCCGAGGTGGAGGTGAAGCGATGAGTTTAGGCCAGGAGTCTGTGGGGCCTCAGAGCGTCAGGTCGTGCGTCGGTAAGCTCAGCCAGGGCGTCATCAGTTTCAGCGGCGAGGACGGCGAGCTGGTCCTGGACCCGCGCATCCCCAAGAGGGGGGGCCCAGACGGCGCGCGACCCTGCCGCCATTGGCACCCCAAGGGGGGGGCGCCAAGGAACTGGTGCATTCGTCGGAAGGTCCGTCGCCGAGCATTCGGAGCGCGGCGTTGGCAGGGAGGCCCGGAGACCGTGTCCTGTTCCACGATGCTCGGAACCGTCTCCCAGGGGTCTGGCAGCTAGGAGGTGAGGAGATCTGGAAGCTCACAGGAGGCGCACCGGCGATCTTTCGGCGGGCAGTTGAGGAGGGCACGGAGACCAACGACCTCGTGGCCTGGGGCATCCGGGCAGCCACTCCCCAGCTCGCGGACGCCATGGTCGAGGAGGCACTGTTCCAACTGGAGTGCGCCCGGCAGCGGCAGGACATGGGCAAGGCGGGGGCTTGCTCGCTGGCGAGGGAGGATGCGCAGTGGGAGCGGCTGCAGACGTGGCTGCGTGCGTGTCGCGAGTGCCCGAGCGACCCGGGAGGTCGGGTGGCGGCGCTCAGGAGGGAGAAACTCCCGACCAAGTGCGGCATGGTCCCGGACGAGGACAACGGGCTGGGCCAGAGGCGGGCGCAGAGCCTGCTCGACGACCCCTACCCAGACGTGCTTCTTCTGCGCGTGGGGCGTGACCCGGATGGAGGGCCGCAGTGCTGGAACGTGTGCGGGAGGAGTTGCGCTCGCTTTGATCATGGCTGGGGCTGGTACTGCTGTCGGACGTGCCGTAACACGGATGGCGAAGCCCATGGGCCTTACTGTCAGGCCCAACACGAGGACCTCCAGAGGAGGCAGAGGGAGGCGGGCCATCACCCACCGGCGAGCGAGGAGGCGAGTGGCAGCGGTGGTCTTGGAGCCCAGGCAGCAGGCGAGGAGGCGCCGGCCACGCCGCCACCGCTGGAGCCGCAGTCGGGGTGGGCGCCGCCAGCGCCCGAAGAAGTGGTGGGAGTGAGGTCGCCGTCCCGTCCTCCCCTTCGCGGCAGGTCGCCGCCCCTGCTATCGCGAGGGGGGATCTGGGGAGGTGATGAGCCCCCGCCAGTACCCTTCCCAGGAGGCGACCTGGACGCCCGATACGAGTGGTGCGAGTACTGCGGCGTGCAGGGCGAGGGCCGAGATGCGGGCTGCTCGATGTGCCATTAGGCTTACCCTATCTCGATGGCACGGGATCGGGCGCTGGCGGCGCGGAGGGCAGCCGAGGCAGAGGGCGCGGCGGCGATAGCAGCCCGAGCGGTGCCGCCGCCGTTCAGGGCGCTGCCCAGCGACGCCCAGCTTGGCGATCCGACCCCCCCGAGCGGGCCAGACAGGCACGCCGGGACCGTCGACGACGACGAGCGATGGGGAAGCTGGACCCCGCAGGGCCGGGACGCCCCCACCCCGGGGGGCGCCGGCGCGGCCGGCGCGGCGGGAGTGAGGCCCGCCCAGGCGCCCGTCCAGGGAGGGGGGCAGGTCAGGAATCTGGCCCCCTGCCTCAATCCGGGGTGCCCCTACTTGGAGCACAGCGCCCCGGCGAGGCCATGGAAGCCAGGCTACTGCTGCGACAAGTGCGGCGGCCGCCATTGTGAGCAGGATTGGGCCGAGGGAGGCGTCAAGCACTACAAGTACTGCGAGAAGATGCCCCATGGCCGCGAGGAGGAGCAGCAGCCAGGAGACGGGGGCGGAGGAGGCGGTAGGAGCCGCAAGAAGAAACAGAAAAATAAGCAAGCCGCCCTGGAGGAGCCTGCCGAGCCGTCGCACGGCCCTCCGGCCCGCGGAGGGGCCTTGGGTCGGGCCAGGGTCCTGGCAGCGCTCCACGGTGATGTTGAAGAGGAGGAATCGTCGCCCGAGTGCCCACCTCCCTCGCCACGTGAGCTCAGGAGGAGGAAGAGGGATGCAGAGGCAGAGGCCCGCAAGAACGAGCCACGCATCAAGCTCGTTGCGAGGATGCTGCCAACTGAGGTGAAGGAGGAGGTGAAGTCGGAGGGCGAGGGCTCGAAGACGGCTGCGGCTTCGTCGTCGAGGCAAGATGCGAGCGGCAGGGGCGGCCAAGGAGCTGATCCAGAGGCGGCGGGGCGCAGGTGCAAGGAGCTGTCTGACCGCGTGGAGAGCCGGCGCGCCATCGGGAAGAGTGCGACGAACCAGGAGTACCGCCGCCTCTTGGACCACGCAGCGCACGCTCTAGCGCGGGCTCAGGAGCTGCGGCCGCAGGTGCTTGAGGAGGGGCGCGGCGGAACCGCCACGCCCGATGGGCAGGAGCGGTCCAGGTCGTCGGAGGAGAGGAGGTGCCCAGCGAGCCCGGTGAGGAAGGTTCGTTCAGTACCCCCTCGGCCTACACGGGGTGCAGGAGCGTCGAGTGCCCGCGCCAGGGAGCCCTTGCCGATGCCGTCGCCGAGGGAGAGAACGGTCTCCCGTAGCCCGCCTCGGCGCAGTGCCACCCCTGAGGACGAGGCAGGTGACGGCGACACCGCGAGCCCTGTGGATTCGGAGCTGCGGGCGGAATCGAAGGAAGTCGATGTGAGCGCGAGCAGCGAGGCCAGGATGGCGGCGCTGAGGGCCCGGGCCATCCAGATCAAGCGCGACGAGGACGTCGCGGCGGAGGAGGCTAGGAGGAGCGAAGCGAGGCAGAGGGCGGGGGCGCCCCTGGAGGGCCTCGGCCGAGGACCGCCCAGGTCTGAGCGATCCCTATCGCCAGGGCCATCGGCGCCGCGCTCACCGCCGCTCCGCACATCGCGGCCGGGCGAGGCGGAGGAGCGCCCGGCCCACGTGCTGCTGCCCGGCGAGGACGTCGAGATTGACGCGCGGGCGGTCGCGCGCTACCTGGCGGACAGGCGGAGCTCTAGCAGCGCGGGCCCAGGTGAGGAAAGAGTGTACGCCCACCTCGAAGCCATGGTACGCGGGGCCATACAGGGCTCGGGTCGCCGTGACGACCGAGGCGGGGACCGCGGGCGGGGCAGCAGTGGAGGAGACGACCGTAGGAGCGGGTGTCTCGAGCAGGCGAAGGCCGAGGAGGAGCTCGAGGCGCTGGTGAGGACGTGGGGCTACCCCGAGCAGAGGGGGGGTGGCTCGACTGGGCCCTGGCAGCCATGGGCGCGGGCGGGGGGCACGCCCGTAGAGCAGGAGCTACCTCGCATAGGAGCAAGAAGGGGAGCAAAAATGTTCGCGGCCCGTGCGAGAACAGGCCGCCCAACCTCCTCGGACCGGAGGCGGTTCGAGCGAGCGCCCGCCCGGAGGACCTCACTTTGACGGACCTCAAGACGCGCGAGGACTGAGAGAAAGCTAAACTCGAGCTCATCCTCGATAAGCTGGCCAGGTCCACGATCAAGTCGTACAGCAGTGGCTGGAGGTGGTGGACTCTCTTCTGCCGCGCGAGGGGAATCAGCCCGCTTCGCGAGATCACGCCCGAGAGTAGGAGGAAAGAAGAGGAGCTGTTGCTGGAGTTCGTCATCCACCTGGCGCGCCGAGGCTGCAAGAAGGCGGGCACCATCAAGCAGTGCCTGAGCTCGGTCCGGGCCCAGCACCTCGAGGGCGCCTGGCATAGGGGACATCGCGGAGGGCGCGGGGTGGCAAGGGTCTTCGGGGAGCTGACGTCACCCCAAAGGCGAACGGCGAGCCGACTCGCGTGTGGGGCGAGGCGAATGAGGTCGTCATCAAGATTCGGGCCAGCAAGACCGACCAGTACAACCTGGGCGAGTGGCGCAATCACTTCCGCATTGTGGTCGCTGAGGACGCAGATCGAGCTGAGCACATCTGCGTGGTGGAGGCGCTCGAGATCTACGCGGGCTGGGCCAATGAGAGGTTCTCAGGCGCGCAGATGTACGGCCCCCTGTTCGCCTTCGACGACATGCACCTGGTGACGCGGGCCGACGTCCAGCGAGTGGCGATGCAGTCGGCGGTGGCGGAGGGCATGGGCCCGAACGACCTAGGCTCGCACAGTCTGAGGATCGGAGGAGCGTCGGCGCTCTATGCGGCGTTCAAGGACACCGCCTTGGTGCAGCGCTGGGGCAGGTGGAACAGCGACGCTTTCCAGGGATACCTGTGGGAGGCGCGCGGCATGGCAGAGGGGGTTGCCAGCAGCATGGCGGCCACTGACATCGCGATGGTCTGAGAGGTTGTGCCGTCGCGCAGGTCTGAGGTTCAGAGCGCGTGGGCAGCGGGGGCCGATCAGGCCTGAGCTGAGAGCGCAGGGGGGCCTCGTGGCTGGCAGTGTGGCATCAGGTGCGCAGCCGTGAGGGCATCTGCCGTGGCGGAGGTACCGCCAGGAGTGCTGGGTTGCGTGGGGCCAGGTCCCCCCACCAGCGCGCGCGGGGGCCCTCGAGGTGGGCCCCGCGGCGCGCAGGAAGGAGGGCAGGTGCCGTAGCACCGGGCGCTGCGGCTGTGGGCCGCTGGAGGAGTACGATGGGGGGCGCAGCGGCGGCAGGGAACGCCGACCGCAGAGCTCGCGCCCGCAGGCCGCGCTGCGGGCGCCACCAGGCCATGAGAGAAAAAAAGGGTGCTTCTCTCAGGAGGTTCGAAGGCGAGGAGGAGGAGGTTTGTCGGAGGCGGCCTGAGGGCTCAGGGCCAGCAGGCCCAGGCGAGCCCGATCCGCCTGAGGTTTTGAGGCGGAGAGTCCAGGAGGAAACGTGATCGTTCGTGAGAACAGTGGGTTTCCTTCCGCCTCATAGCCTCCTCTCCTGCTGTCCTCCTCCGCCGCCGTTTGCTCATGGCTCCTGCGGAGCCGCGAATAATTTTGGGGTCCCACCCACCCGCGCCAGAGGGGTGGGGCCCCAGCCGAGTTTGCTCGGCGGGCCCCACAAGGGGGCTCGTACGCGCTTGCCGCATAGCGGTCGGCGCGGTCTTCGCTCCCCGCGAGGCTTCTCGGGGGGGTGCAGCGGCCGCAGGGGGCGCCGACCGCGGAGCTCGCGCCCGCAGGCCGCACTGCGGGCGCCACCAGGGCATGAGAGAAAAAAGGGTGCTTCTCTCAGGAGGTTCGAAGGCGAGGAGGAGGAGGAGGTTTGTCGGAGGCGGCCTGAGAGCTCAGGGCCAGCAGGCCCAGGCGAGCCCGATCCGCCTGAGGTTTTGAGGCGGAGAGTCCAGGAGGAAACCGGACTGGACGCGCAGCAGGCCCTCGCGCTGCTGCGACCCCGGACCAGCTCCGACTACACCTTCCTCGCGCGCACCTGCGGCATCCCGATGACATGGAGGCCCGCGTCCTGGACGCAGCGCTCCTGGCGGACGTGCAGCTGGTGCGCGGCCGGCCGCTGGAGGGCCTGCGCGGGAGGAGCTTTGGCCTCGCGGGGACAGACGGCTGGCTGGGACTGCTGAGCGTCGAGCTCACGGCGGCGGCGGCCTCAGCGGCGTCGCGGCACCTCTGCCCCCCGCGCTGCTTGCGGAGACCTGGGCTGGGCGGGGCGGGCGCGCTGGCCAGCGTGAGCGCGCGGTGAGGGGCCCGCGGCCTCGCGGCGCAACCTGGCTTCGGCCCCCCTCAACTGCGGCTGCGCGTTTCGTCGCCGACGAGGCGAGCCGCGACCTGCTGGCGGCTGCGACCCTGCACAGCGCGGGCGGCCCTGGGGCGAGCGCCTGGCTGGGTTCGCCTTCCCAGCTAGGGGCCAGACCAGGGCCGGGGCCGGGCTTGTCGGGGTCGCGACCCCCAGGACCTCCGCCTGGGACCCTCCCCCCGGACCCCTTCCCGGGATTTCCCCCCGGCCCCCCCGGGGCCCCCCCAGGGTTCTTGGGCCCCCCCCCTGCGGGGAAGGGACATCACGAATTTGTTCGGTTACCCTTCTTCGTCCGATCTCCTTTACAACGACGACGGTTCACATGAGGCTGGCGTGCTTCAGGTTGGGTTGGGCTGGCCTCGCGCCGAGGAGTTTCTCACACACGCCGGGTCTGCGGATTCCTTCTCCGCCGCCTCCTCCTCCTTTCATTTCCTTTCAATGAATTGTGGTCTCGCCCCCCCCAGAATATCGAATGCCGAACGCAATCGGGTTTCCCATGGGAGGTTCCGCGAACGCGAAGACAACAGCGCTTCGCGTTCCATCAAGCCGATATCAGCCGAGACCTCGAGCATCCTACTCAGCACCGGCCAGGGCGCCTGTGCGCCGAAGCCCTCCGCGATCCTCACGCGGGGCGGAGGTGCCAGCGACGCAGCGCCGCGCCCGTGATGGGGAGGGTGAAGTGGCATCGGAGTGGAGAGGAAGGACCGCCGCGACCAAACCAGCAAGGTTTTACGACAATCGACTCTCGGTCACTTAGTTCGATCCGCCCTCCCCAGTGGCAGCGGCAACTGGGGAAGGGTATGGTTCCGTTCGACTTCGACCCTTCAAGCCGGCAGCGTGAGGAGGAGGAGGAGGAGGAGGAGGAGGAGGAGGAGGAGGAGGAAGAGGAAGACCAGACGGGCTGGAGGGGGAAATGCGGCCGCTCGCGCGTGTGTTTTTTTATTTGTTGTTTTTTGTCTTCTCCATTTTGCGGTCTCCAACCTGTTAGGGTTCGCGCAAGCCGCATTGCGCATGGCGCGAATTTCGCCTGTGGCGCTTCGCGAGTGGCGGCGCCGACGCTGCCTTGCGCAAGCCTTGGCGGTTGCGCGGGCCTTCCGCGCGGTTCTCTTTCTTCGATTCGGCCCGCAGGTTTTTCTTCGTTCCCCGATCCCGCGCCCCCGTTCCAGACGATGGGTTCGGAGGATCGCACCGCATCGCCGCTGTATCGGCGATGCGGCTCGATGCGGAACACGATTTTCTCCACGCGTTAGCGTCGCTTATACACCGCGGACGTCGGCGATGCATCGGCGATGCGGCGCGATCCTCCGACCCATCTACTCGGACCCCATCTAAGAGGCCTCTACTTCCCGGTCCAAACATTTCGCGATCGTCGGCTGGCCCGACGGAGCGCCGCCGACTTCCGCAGGTACATGATACACTCGGACCGAGGTATAAATCGAGGTCTGTTCGGAGAGGGTGCCCCAGTGTCCTTCGTGTTTGTTGTGCGCCTTGCGGAGGGCATCCTTGGATGTGTTGCTTCTTTTGGCCGACGCAAGGCCTCATGATCTTGCGGGATACTTTCCTGACCTAGGTCCGATTGTACATGATATTCCAGATTTGCCGATTTGCGCGTGTGTGTGTGTGTGTGTGTGTGTGTGTGTGTGTGTTTGTGTGTGTGTGTGTGTGTGTGTGTGTGTGTGTGTGTGTGTGTGTGTGTGTGTGTGTGTGTGTGTGTGTGCGTGCGTGCGTGCGTGTGTGTGTGTGTGTGTGTGTGTGTGTGTGTGTGTGTGTGTGTGTGTGTGTGCGTGCGTGCGTGCGTGCGTGCGTGCGTGTGTGTGTGTGTGTGTGTGTTTGTGTGTGTGTGTGTGTTCGGTCCGAAGTTTTCTTCGGATATCCAGCGCCCTCCCTGCGCGGCCGCCAGGATCCACCCGAGTCGTGGTTCGAGCGCCGCCTGGTGGACCGCCACAAGGTGAAGCTGGGAGGGGCATGATTTGGGCTGACGCTGAGTGTGTGTGCGTGTGGGGGTGGGTGTGTGGGTGTGTTTGTGCTTGTGTGTTTGTGCGTGTGTGTGGGTGTGTGTGTGTGTGTGATTGCTTTGATCTGACGCCGAGGAGGTCGGTGGTCCCTGGAGACCGACACCCGCCAGAGACCTCCCGTGTACCCGACTCGGAGGCCGTTCGGGCCAGGAGTTGTCCTGCTCCAGGGCGGCCTCGCGAGGGCGCGCAGTCTGCTCCGCGGGGCGCATCGCGGGGCGACGCGCGAAGCTGGGTGGCCTAGGATGCAAGCACAGTGGGCATCAGGAGGGACAAAAACACGCACATGGCATGGCTGAGCCGAGCATCCGGAAGGACGTGTGGGCAGAAGAGTGCACAATTGGCAGCTCTTCGTGACAATGCAAGAGACATCTTGCAGATGGATTGCGTGAACACAGAGGCTCGACTGTGAAGCAGAAAAAATGGAGCGTCTCACGACTGACGCAGGAAACGAGAGGGGAGCAGGAGGGGGAGGAAGGAGAGAGGGGGGAGGGGGGGGGGGACGAGGAGCGTGCGGATTGGAGTTACTCACGAGACAACTCGTACACTGAAGTCGCCCACTGCTGTCGCGGGCGCCCTCGTTTCCGGCGGCGTGCCCAATTTTTGGGAATGCCATCCGCATCGCACAGTATTTCTTTGATCAGGGAAGGGTCCGGGGACCTGGCGATTCTATTGTACAGAGCTATTTGGCGTTCCTTCAGAGACTCAGATAATGGTGTCGACGACGCCCGCTGCAATACTTCATTGTTGCGAACACGAGAAATAAACGAGTGGGGAATACCAAGTAGGCGTCGCAAGCATTTGCAATGGAAGCTGTCCAATCTGGACCTGTCTGCTTTAAGCAACCATACAGAATCCAAATAATACATGAGCTTGCTGAGTATGTATTTCCGCTTTTTTCCAATTGACGCGTGAGCCCATATCCGGTCCAATTGCTTGAAAGTCTTCGTCGCTTCCCCCAATCGCCTGGTCACCTCCGTCGTCGCCTTCCCGTCGCACGTGATCAGCCCCCCGAGGTAGATGGCTTCGCGGATAGTTTTGATCGGCTCGCCGGTCGGCCTGGAAATTCAGCTGTCTGTTGAAATATTAATTTGCATTGTTTTCTCCCAATTCAATTCCAGCCCGTACTTTTCTCCTTCAGCAACAATTGCCGCCAAAAGGCCATTCAAGTTTGCGACGTGTCGTGAAAGAAGCAGCGTGTCATCAGCGTAAAGGATATCACGCGTCACTACAAATGCCGGTTCTGCTTGGAGGTCAACAGTGCGAAATACGTCGTCCAGCATCACATTTTGAACGACGATAAATAAGTAGGGCGACAGAGGGCATCCTGGCGCAATGTTTGCATGTTGTTTTCTTTCAGATGACGTGCCAGCGTGGTCCAGAATAGTAAAATATCTTGCCGCGTATATTGACCTTATAAGCTGAACCATGGAGGAAGGAACCCCGAAACGGAGAAGCGCGCCACACATGCAGTCCGGCTTGATCCTATCAAATGCTTTGGCCCAGTCAAACATGAGTAGAGAAAGCCCCCCGTCGTTGTCCAAGTGCGCAGGGTCGACCATATGCCTCATTAACATTAGCGCGTCTTTGGTTCCTTTCCCTGGTCTGAACCCATATTGCGATTGTCGTAAGCGATGCTCTGCTCCGCCCTGAACCAGGCGCCGGTGAAGAAGTGCTGCTAATATTTTATATCCGACCGGTAATAATGAGATAGGCCTGTAGTTTGCCGGTAAGGCCGCACTTCCCTTTTTGAAAAGTAAAACCACATGCGAGCGTCTCCATACTTCTGGAATCGATTTGTGTTCCCAGCACTTCTGACACATGTCCAACAATATGTCGCACGCAATAGAATCTGACCCCAAGATTTTCCAGAAATCTGGCGGGATATCGTCTGGGCCCGCGGCCTTCCCTTTCTTGAGTTTTTGCAGTACTGCCTTCAACTCACTGGTGGTAAAAGGAGAAGTGTCCACAGGAAGTGCGTCACCCAAAAGTGTATTATGATCTGGGCATGTGTCCCGAAATTTGTACTCCCAGTGCTCGTTCTCAAAATAGTCCGCTATCACGTCAGCTCGTTCTTCCGTGCCGGCTGGAGTGCCATCAGGGCGTTGTATAGTAACATGTTGTGTTTTCTTTGGTTTCCGCAAGTGTCGAACAGCATCCCAATTCCCACTCTTAGTAAGATCGTGTAACCATGATTCTCGGTCTTTCTTTCCAGATTTTCTTATCAAGATGTGAAGTCGTTTCTCATTATCGTGATGCCCAGCTCGCCGGTAAGCGCCGCGTTCAGCAATCAAGTCGAGTGTACCCTGGCTCGTCCATGGGCGTTTCGCTGCAGATCGCGAAACCGGCAAGACAGCTGCTGCTTCAGCAAAGGCACGTTGTAGATCGGCTGCTGCGGTGTCCAAGTTGTTGGCGGCTTCCCGCGGTAGCATTGCGTTTACAAATGCGTTCAAAAATCTGCGTTGTGTTTCCAAATCGCGTAAAGCCTGCGCGTTCACTCTCTGTTTAGGTTGTTCTTGCTGCGTTTCGAACTCTATGTGCATGTCCCCAACCAAAAGGAAATGCGTCTGCGCGGCTGCTCCAACAGTCCGTGATGGTGTCGATCATTGTTTGATGACATAATACGTGATCTATCTGAGAGAATGTTGACGTCGTAATGTTGTTGTCCATTGGATTGACTCCCAAGTTCCGGGACGTGACTTTCATCGAATCGGGGTGGTCAAAGAAAATGTTCGCAATGGCGAGGTCGTAAGCCACGCAAGTTTCCAAGAGCAGTTGCCGGTTAGATAATTGTGCACTGGCACTCCCATTGATAGCTTCATTGTGATGGGGAGTCCCAGGGAGGTTCTTGAACACATGAGCCCCGATCATATCCTCTTCTCCCGGCCCTTGCCGCAGAAGTTGCGCGTTGAAGTCCCCAAAAGCCATGGTCGTACTGTGCGTAGTCGTAGCCCGGATGAGGTCCTGCAACTCGTAGTGGAAGGCTTGGCGTTTCTCGTAGTCCAGGCCGCTCCGAGGGGCATATGCGGTGATCAAGGTCAGCATCCCTCCTCGAACCTTTATTCGGAGTGTGGCCAACCTGTCTGAGCAGGCCTTGAAGGCGACAATAGACTTGAGGATTTTTGGGTTCACCAAGAAGCCAACCCCTGCGTAGGTGCGAGTTTCAACATCCAAGCTGCCAGATAAGAAGATCTTGAAATCGTGTTTCATGTAGTACTCCGGCCCGTGCAAATGTGTCTCCTGAATGCATAAAACGTGTATGTCGTGATACAACATGCTCTGGATAAGTTCGTCGAGTTTGATGATTGAATCACCTCGGAGGCCTTCAACATTCCAGGTGCCGATGCGGTTGATGTGACACGGAATGCACAACTGTCTCTGCGTGTTCCATTTGGGAGGGTTTTGAGGAGAATGGGAGGAAGAAGCTCGTGGAGGGTCAGTGTTGGTAGATTCGCCAACCTCGGTGTGTCTTCCAAGGTGGGGCGATGGAATCGAGGACGCCACGGGGGGCGCAGCATTGCTCGAAGATGTAGTCGGACACTGCTTGTCTATGGTGTCTCGGTCCGCGATGGTATCTTTGCCCATCCTAGCCGAACCACGAAAAGTAGATACAGGGCCGAGCTCGGGAACTGTATTGTCGTCGATGTTGATAGAATTTGAGCGTTCTCGCATTGAACCAGAACTGAACGTATCGCAAATACGCTCCAAATATACATTGTCGCCTTCGGTGCTGGCGCCGTCGTCAACGTTCATGTGCACGCGTGCTGACGGGGCTGGTCCGTGGGAAGGTAACGAAGAAGATCTTGGACGTACGGGTAGCGTGGGTGAAACTGTCGGGGGGTAGGTAGCTTTGCCCTCTCCCAGAGAAGCCGGGACGGAGTTGGAGAAGAGAGTCGGTGATGTAGAAGTAGGGTCAACGTTCGAAATTGCATCGATGTCAAAAATTGTCGTGTGTTGGACGCGGACATCACGAAATATAAAGATATGTTTTCCCAAATCGGCTCCTGCACTGGGCTGACAAGTCCGTGACGTGGAAGATGTAGCCAATGCCTGCCGTGCGTCCTATTTTGTTGCTGTGCCTTTGGACGCTCCTTTTGCTTTTTCTTCCCGTTGAGCTGCTCGATGAATGATGTCATTGCATTTTGTTGTCAATTCTGCAAGTTTGGGGTGGTTTTGCAGATCGCCCCACGCCTGCCAAATATCTTCCCACGCCGTCTCGAATGCCATGTTGTGTACATTCACCGTCAAAGCCAACTGCCCTCCAACTTCTAGTGTGTAAGGCGCTTCCTCTGACACCCTGATGGTGTATGGATTCTGCAGGTCGTTTTTGAGCAAGTGTTTCACCCCAAAGCAATAGTTCCGGGCCGCACGGTCGGCTGGTTGTCTGTCTTGGGTTGCCCAAATCAGTTTACTCCTACGCTGAAGGCCACCGCTGCGTAGAAGAGCGACCGCCGTATCTCGGTCGAGCATGCTGTCGAACTCGGCAAATACAACATCTTTGAATTCCCCTTTCGCGTAAATAGTATTCGGGATTGGGGCTTGCATTGAAGATAGCTGCTCTCTGATAAATGTGCGTGCCGTGGCGATGGAATCAAAATTGACAAGGTTGCCAATGACCGCTGTGATAGCACGTTTGCCATGGTAGTGGTAAGCGTTTGCCGTACCTTGCGAAGCTAAGCTGCTTGAGATGTTCCAGCATATGATCTCGGTGTAGTTGCCAAGCTTGCCATCTCTTTCCGCATCTCCTCTATAGCGTTCTCCATGTTAGTAGTACGTACTTGCAACTCTTCAATATCATTGTTTACCGTATCTTGCAACTCCCCGAAGTCTTTGCGCAAAGGGTCCACAGCCTTCCGCAAGTCGTCCTGCGAGACACCGTGCTGCTTGATCGTTCGGATGTCGTTTTTGATAGGGTCCAAATGCTTGTTGAGAATGGCCTCGAATGTCGCCGCCGTAAGTCCAGCGTCCGACGCTGCCATGAGGCTCTTTTGGAATTCATGCTGGCGTGCATGTACTTGAGCCTCTGCTCCGCCAGCCTGAGGTTGATGTGAATCAGCTGCAGCTCGAGATGATTCTGCCGCTGCTGGGGCTTCCATCTCCATACCGTCCATCTCGTTCAGCGGGCTCCTGACGCGAGCAGTTTTAGCTTTCGGTGCTGTAGCTGGTGGAGACGATGGAGAAGCGATGTCGTGCGTCTCTGCAGCGAAGAGCTGTCGCACAGGGGTACCTTGCATGCGCCCACCCGAAGAAGACATCGCAGCCCACAGGGGTTGTGTTAGGGAAGAGCGAATTGTATAAAGACTGCCCCGGACACGGGTGTAATCTCGAATCAAGGTGATGAGTGAGAAAATGTGAGTATGGTACTCGGAGTTGGTATGGTACTTGGAATGAGATTTGGATTAATCCTGGGGGGCAACTCCTAGAAAGTAAAAGGAATCTATGGGAATTGAGGGGGAAGACGAAGACCTAGAAAGCATGGGAAAACATGGGGAAACCTGTTATTAGTGGTCTATTTGTCTGTGTGTCCCAGGGCCCCTTCAGAGCACCGCGCAGCAGTGCATAGCGCAGCACCGCCGGGCCTCCCATGGCGCGTCTGCCTGGAGCTGGCGCGCCCCGGTCGCGAGGACCGGGATCTGCCGGCGGCCACCAGCCAGCGCCGCGTGTCGCGGAGCGGGCGAAGAGCCTCAGAGGAGGGCGAGCGGAGGCGGCGGCTCGTGGCCCTCAAGGGGGGGGTCTTCGTCGCCACGGCTGGGAGCAGCTCGAACACACGTGCGCTGGAATCCCGCGAGGGGTCCAGGGAGGGCCTGAGGGGTCTGGAGACCGAGTCTGAGTGGCCGTTGTCTCAACTCGCCCGGCTCCGAGAACCCCGCAGGTGAGTTTGACAGCTTGACGGGGTAAGCACTTCAACGAGCGTCCAGAGAGTTTCCAGGAACGTCCGAGGAGTGCATCGGGAATCGGAGGTTGACAGAACCCCCATCCTGCTAAGCCGATTCGTGAATTGCCTTTTTGCTCCTCTCGAGAGGGTGCTGCGGCCGCAGATTCTGCGTTCCTTCGTTCGCTGGGTCTTGGCCGGGCCGTTCTCATTAATGGGTGTTCTGCTAGAGGGGTTTCTGTACACTTCTGAGGGAAGACAGGGGGGGGGTTCGAAGAAGCACACATCGCCATAAGCATATGAACTTTGGGCACTCCGCACGGATTTCTTGGATCCGCGCTGGGCTCCCCGGGCGGCGCCTCTGGCGCCGCCTTTGGCGCGCTCCGCGCGCCAGGAAGGGCAGATCCAAGACATCCGCGCGGGGCGCCAAAAGTTTATGTTTATGTAGTTTTTTCTTCTTCTAGGTCGGACATTGGTAGACGAGCGAACCATGAGATTTCTGCTGACGCCGCGACTGCCCTTCCGACGCCCAGCCTATGTTCGAAGAGGGTCTGGCACACGTAATGTCCGTTCCATTCTCCTCGTCGACGGTCTCAGGACGACGACGACGACGACGACGGCGTCGACGTCGACGTCTTCGTTTCGGAGGCTTCAGGGCATGTATGGGAGTTCTCATCGACACGGCTGGAAGCGCAACAAACGCATGGCCAGGAAGGACTCGGAGACGGCATTGTTGAGCAGATGTCGGCGTCTGGCGGAGAAGCAGCAGGAAAGGAGGAGCGAGGTTTTGATCATCAATGTTTTGGTTTCGTTTGTTGTTTGTCTCTCGTCTTGGAGCCTGAAGGCCTCCGAGGACTTCTAGCGGCGTTCGACTACACTTTAGATGGATCTTCTTTCGGATACGAAACATATTTGGCCGAGCATATGTTTGCGAGGTGGGATGATATCGTGCTTGGCGAGTGCAATTGATGCTACGTTTTTGTTGTTCCCGTGCTCGGCACCCACAGCTGCAGCTTCAGCAACAGCTCTACCAGTGTTCAAGTTCAGCAAGCTTTAGTCTCACTTCAAACGCTTTCCGATGCATTTGATACATGGTTTGCGTAAGTTGTGCCGCGCACGTGCGCGCTGATCATGGCTTCCCGCACGGTTCCGTACATCATAGTGGGCGTTAGCCCGCATAGGAACATACCGTTTCTAATGTGTCTTGCCCACGGTGCCAATTATCTTGCTCTGTTGTTTAGCTTCAGCGTTAGCTTCAACGTTGGCATTAGCTCTTAGGCGTGTAGTTGCACACCCTGCAAGTCAACCTCACATGCCCCGTTTCTCTGCGTCGCGCCTCCAACACTGCGGTTGAAGCAGGTGCGCGGCAGCGCTGTCCCGTGGCCGCCGTGCAGCATTGCAATGTTTGTTATTCTGCTTCTCGGTGCACTCGTGTGGGGTGGGTGTCGTCCTCCAGTGGAGGAGGTATTGTTTTTGCCTTGTTGGGCTTCCTGGTAGGCCCTCGTCGCCACAGCTGGATCCGCCTCGAAATGCTGGTCAGAACGCTCCGCGGTAGAGGTCCAGGGAATAGCGGTCTCGGTACATTGTTCGGCGGCGAGCGAAGGGGGGAAAGTAAGAAGGAGAAGGCTTTCTCAGAATGTGGCGGGATTTCTCAGGAGCCTTCGCGCCTTCTGAGGAAGTGTTCTGTGTCTTCGGGGAAGGCTTAGAAAACTTCGCATGGGCCTGGGGGGCTTCCAAGCCCTCTGAGAAGGCCCGCCCATTCTCATTTCCCCCCCGGGCTCGCCGCCGAACTGTTTCCCCCCCCAGTCCTGGGGAAGGTTTCGTTTGCGGGCCCTCGGGCTGCCGAGGGCGAGTCGCATTGGGAAGGCTGCCCGAGGGCACTTCCGGCGCTCGCAGGCTGAATTGCAGGCGAGCCCCAGGTTGGCCGGGTTTGTGGGCAGATGGTATGCTTGCATTCCTTGCCAAAGCACGAGTCTGATTCCTACGCAAGGTCAACATGCGCTTCTTCGACATGTTCGCGAAGCCGAAGTCATTTGGGGGGTGGGGCGACGCAAGGACGGCTGCGTTGGCGAGTGATGGCCAAGGGCATGTTAGACATGCAAGCTCCAGAATGCAGAATGGGCGGCTCGGAGGCTCAGTTGGATTGACTTGTCCTTGTTGACAATTTGGTGCACGTGATTTAGATTTACACCATTTCGGTATGATTCACACCATTCAAGCCTTTTTGGCTCAAGAACTCAAGAGCTCAAGAGCTCAAGAGCTTAATTGCCCGTTCAAGTTCCCATATTGTACAATCCAATCTCCTCACACTTTACATCCATTCTTACTTCCTCCTGCTTCTTTCTGCGCGCACAATGGGAATCAATTATGGTACCTCGTGCGCCCGGCACGCCCGTGAAGGACGTTCTGCAGCCACGATCTGATGGTTCTGCAGGTGGCACCTCTGTGCGACCGACTGGTGGAGGACCGAAGCGACCTGAACGTCCCGAGTCTTACGCCCTGGCCATACCGCCGCCGAGGAGTGCACTCAAGCAGCCGCGCCTCGGTAGCCCAAGTGCCGCCATGGACACCGGCCCGGCCGACGCCGCTGCCCAACAAACTGCTCTCCAGCACGCTCTGGGGGAGGCGGCATCGGCGTCCCATTCAAACACGTACCAGACGGAATTCGACGATCTTCCGAAGGAAGAGGACATCCACAATCCAGATTCGCCGATCACTGTAGCAAGCATGCACCAGATTTTCCGCCAGTACATGTTTCCTGTCATGAGGGCCAACAAGTCCATGAGCACAGACTGCCAAGCCTTCAAGACGACGATGGAAGCGGATGTGGAGGATATCAATATCAGGACCACCAATTTGGAGGATGACATCGAAGCGACGCGGGAGGAAAACGCCAGCACCCATGGCGAGCTACGGCAAGAAATGGCAGAACTCCGGGAAGCCCTACAACAAGCTCAAACAAGCACGACACCGCGATCAACGACGTCTGCACCACGGGCGACGGGCACTGCGACAGTAGTGCTCGGAGGTCTCCCCCATGAGTCCTTATCGGGTCGGGCGAAAGGGGGGTATTGGGAAAGGGGGGGTTACGAAATTTGCTGCATGCAGCTGGTTTTGGCCTCACCGAGGGGCCCATTCCTCGATACATGGCCGCCTCCGGCGCCGGGAGGCGCCGGGGAACTCAGCTACGTGAGCTGATTCTCAAACCCCCCCTTTGCTATCCCCCCCTTTCGCCCGACCCGACAGTAGTGCTCGGAGGTCTCCCCCATGAGTCCTTAGGGGAGACAGACACACGGATCAGCAAGGCACTCGAAGACGCACATCTACTTACCAACGAAATCTATAGAAACGGGTGCCTCAGATGAGAACTTAAAAGGTTCGGTTTTTGCCGAATTTGATACCCCAGGAGCAGCACAACAAACACAATCGCACCTTCAAGAGCTTTCGACAAAGTCGCTGAAGCCCAGGGTGGGAAGCAGCAGAGTGTGGTGCAATCTAGACTCCACGATCGAGGTGCGGGTTGTCGCCTCGCTCCTCTTGGGCCTCCGTTATGTGCTCACGCAGTGGGGGTTCGAAAAGCGGTACCTCAAGGTGGACACGGAGGCGGGCATCATAAAAGCCGGCGGCGAACCCATCATGCGTGCGGCGGCGGAGGCGGACACTCTGAGCATCACTTGGTTGGACCCTGATTGGGAAAGCGGGTCAGAACTCCAATCTTCACCGGAGTGGGCCAAGGTGTAGAAAAAAACCAGAGAGCGTCTCTCGCAAAGCAGGGCTCGCGTGAGCACAGGGGCCGGGAAAGGCAAGTGAAGGTGCCTGGGGCGCAGGGCCGGAGTTTCACCAATCGGGGGCGCTTCCCTCAAAACGCTTCAATTGCTTAATCGTCAACTGGGCGGGAAGGGCAAAGATACCGCCTGCCCCAAGGGCGGGGTTGGGAGGAAAGGGCAAAGATACCTTGCACCCGACAGGAGAACCTACTGAGTTGGACGGCGAGTTGCGCAGTACACGATCGGTTCGCCCAGTCGTGGGCGGAATGGGCAAAGATACCAGCTGCTTCGGCAACGTCACTGAGGAAAACCTGTGCCACGCTACATGGAACGTTCGTGGGCTGACGGATGTGAAGCTGGCGGAGCTCATAACACATATGGAAACTTACGGTATCCACGCTTTGTGCATACAGCAGACCAGACAAGCTAAAGCAGAAGAATTCGAGCACGAGCAGACAGGGCACTACGTAATATTGTCCGGTGCTGACACAGATGAGCGATCATGGGCTGGAGTTGGGTTCATTATTTCTCCTACCGTAATTATTTCTCCTTCTCATCACGCGAGCAAATTTCAGATCGCATGCCAACTGAAGCTTAGAATTGGCCGCAATATCTTTGCTTTGTTCTGTGTGCACGCTCCGCACAATCTCAAGCCGCTGCCAGAGAGGAGACAGTTTTACGCAGAGTTGGACGCACTTTTCAGAGCATGCTCGAGTTACGCTGGCAAGATAACGATTGGAGATTTCAATGCGAGAGTCGGGCATGCAGACGCCAGGGAACAAGACGTCGTCGGAAAGCACACCCGGGGAAGACGCGCATAGCACGAGGTGGACGCGCCGAACCGGAATCTATTGGTAGAGTTCTGCGCGGGACTAAACTTACTTATAACGAACACCTTCGTTGACCAGCCTGTGAACCAAAAGATCACGTTCATGGAGGCCAGAGCGGCGCCGATGGGAGACATTATGGAGGATAGTTACAACATATTGGATCTTCTACTCTGCGAGGCTGCTACTCTTACTCGCACGCGAGGGCCGATCAGCAGCCGGGGGGCGGCTTTAGCAACTGACCATTATTTGCTGACGGGGGTCCTCGAGCACCTCGACTACCGTGGGCCCACAACAACAGCGCAGCAGAGAGACAACGCAGTTCTCCGAGATCCTGAAGCACAACGGCTCTACAGCGAAACTTCTCTTGAACTCGTTCGTGAACCAGCTGATGGGGCGCAGGGGGTTGTGGGGGAGCTGCGGGGGGAAGGTGTAGCAGCAGCAGTGGCAGCTACGACAGCACTGCCGCTAATAACGCTCGAAGCCACTAAACCATGGATTACCCAGCGCACGTTGGACCTGACCCAGCAATGGAAGGAGTGCTGCCCGAAGCTCGAACGACAAACCTGCGGAGAAGCGCCTGCTGAAGGAGGTCCGGAAAGCATGCAAACAGGACAAAACAGCATGGCTGAATAGCGCCATCTCCACCGGGAGCTGGGAGATGATACGTAAGCGTTGCTGCCCGAGGCGTCGCAGGCAGGGCAGGCTGCGGGACTTGGACGGGAATCTGGTGGAGAGTTGTCAAATGGCGGACGCGATGGCAGATTTCTTAGAAAAAGTGCAGTGGCGAGTAAGACCGGCGACCTTAACAAATGAAGACTCATTGGGACCCCCGCCCCCCGTGCAAGAACTTGGCTTCACGACCCAAGAGGTGGGGGGAGCAGTCAGCAAGTTGACATGGGATCGGGCTGCGGGGCCAGACAACATCCCCGCGGAGTGCTGGAAATCAGCGGCGCGGACACCTGGAGGCATCAAGTGGCTCGCAATTTATGCAATGCATGTTGGGAGGCCGGCGCAGTACCAGAAGACTGGAAGCAGGCGAAGGTGCGAGCAATCTACAAAACAAGGGCGCTATCGATAGCTGCGACAACTACCGGCCGATGAGCCTCCTCTGCGTCGCCTACAAGCTGCTGGCGAGCCTTTTGCTTAAGCGACTACAGGGCGCAGGGGCTGAGGACAGGCTAACTTCAACGCAGCGTGGCCTCCGCAGAGGACGGGGGGCGTCAGATGGTATTCATGCGGTGCGCAGGCGCGTCGACTTGGCTCGCGCAGCACAGGGGGTGAAGTTGCTTTCGTTGCGCTGGACAGGGAAAAAGCACTTGATTCAATCAATGTGGAAGCAATGCTGCTCGCACTACGGAGATTTGGGGTCCCAGATAGAATGCTTTCGCTCATCGGTGACATCTGCGCCAACCGGCGCTTCCATGTAGCTGATGGTTTCTCGACATCCCGACAGCGACGACAACGATCTGGGATCTCACAAGGCTGTCCCCTATCACCTTTCTTGTTCATCATGGTAATGACGGTGGCGCTGAACGACGCAGTGGACAACCTGGGGTCGGGGGCAAAAGCAGATATGGATGCTGGATATATGTCGGCGTTGCTGTATGCAGGCGACACGCTGCTGGTTGGGCGATCGCAAGAACACTTACAACAATTGCTTGATGCAGTTTTCATGGCCGGAGGTCGGGCGGGGATGGATCTCCACTGGGATAAATTTCAGCTAATGCAGATTGGCTGCGAAGTCAAGCTGGCAACTCCAGCAGGCAAATTGAGATCGACCGCGTCGTGGGGCCCGACAGACTGGAAGGGGAGCCCCAGCTCGAAGCTACCCCCCTCCCCGCTTCCTTGCTAAAGGGGGGGGGGGCTTCGGAGTCCTCCAACCCCCCTTCCCCGCTTCCTGAATGGGGGGGGGGGGCTTTGGAAGCCCCCCCCCCTCCCTCCCTTGGTGCAAGGGGGGGGGGGGGCTTGAAGCCCCCCCCCCTTCCCCCCTTTGGCCGCCCAGCTCCCGGAACCATCGCCCTCCCTTTCGCTTCCATGTATTCCCTCCCCTCTCCCTCCTCTTCTTCCTTTTGCCTCCTCCTTTTCCTCGTCCTCCTCGTCCTCCTCATAGTCATCATCATCATCATCATCATCATCGTCATCATCATCATCATCGTACTCCCCCGCGGGTCTTTCATTTCCGTTCCTCCTCCTTCTCCTCCTCGGTTTTCTCATCCTCCTCCTCCATGTTTCCCTCCTCCTACTCCTCCTCCTCCTCCTCATCATCATCATCACCATCATCATCATCATCATCATCATCATCATCATCATCATCATCATCAGGGGGGATTCCAAGCCCCCCCCCCTCCTTCCATTTATTTGAGCCGGGGTGAGCCCCTTCCCCCCCCCCCCCGCCTTTGAATGGGGGGGGGGGGCTTTGGAAGCCCCCCCC